GACGAATGTGCAAGAAATCTTTCTTGTCATGTGAATGCTAACTGTACCAACACAATTGGATCACATGTATGTACATGCCACACTGGATACACTGGAGACGGACAAACTTGCTCAGGTGATTTTGATAACTTTTCTTCAATGTCCAGAAAAGTCCTTTATGACTGAAGGGAGGCAACCTCCATTGCTCCTCTTTCTTTACATACAATCCCAGCTACTCAAAGCGGGAGGTAATCTGAAACGTATTTTTAGCTTAAATTATAAGGCCGGAAGTAGTCAAACATTTATCCTAAAATTCATCCCTCATTAAAAATTGTGGATTGTCTTGTTTTGTCCTGCATCCTTTGAGATTATGTTTGCAGTATTTTGGATAGGTATTCATTATATCTTGATTCACCAAAACATTTTTCATCATAACATCCAACTCTGGGTTGTGACGTGGTGCACTTGATCACATATTTGTGGACTTGTTTTTGTCCACCAGGAGAGGAGAAAATAAGTCCCCATGAGGAATCTTCTACTACCTCATGGGGACGGAGAATTTTTCTTTATCCCACGCTCGTGACAAGACGAAAAAAAATCTCTCTTATTATTTACCTTCCTCTGTAACGTTATTGAAGAATTTTGCTTATAACATATAGAGCACTTTTTCCCGTGTTTACATTTTCTCATTTAAACACTCGAGGCTATAAAGTTTTTTGAAAGTTATGCAAACCCTTGACTGCGTATCGGGTTCGCATAACTTTCTCAAATTCTCCCAACCTCCTCTCGTGTTTAGGTGAGAGTATATAAACATGGAAAAAAGGTTTTCTAGTGCTTAAGCAGTAATCGGCTCCAACAAAGTTTTCCAGGCATATCTGCTCAGATCGAAGAAAATGTAATTACTTCACTTCAATTCCACTATGACACAGAAAACTTTTTCACAGTTAAATAATTCTAGCCCTAGGCAATTTTTGCGGGAGCACTTATTAACAAGTTTGATGGCTTTACATTCATCAACAACCTTTTTTGTGGTCAGCAGTCGATGATTGCAGGGCTGTATGAAAAGCGATCACTGAGCGATCGCACCACAGTCACGCATTGAAATTCTTTGAATATAGTAACTTTTAAGGGATTTTGTATTGAGGCTGTATGAGAAACTCGGCTATTTTTTACTCATTCAATAAATAGAGAATAATACTTGGGTGCGCTTTGATATGGAATTTCTCTTCGAATATTCAACTTGTTATCTCGTGAGCGAGAGCAGCGAACGAGTAAGGTATCGAGCAAGAGAATATAAACTGTTATAATCTCTTGGTATCGAGATAAACACGAGAAGAGAAGTTTCATATCTGCAAGCGACCATCTATCATTTTGTTTATCATGTAAACACAATAGGCCATTACTGGGAAGAAAATTCGACTTTTTAAAACATGAAATTATAGGGTTTCACAATCCACGAAAAAAAGGTCGTAAAGTGCATCGGCGATAAAGCTCAAGATGAAAAAAATGCGTTGAACCATTACAGAAACAGACAATGGGCGTAGCTTTCTTTTCACAAAATTCTCAGTTATTGACTTTTTCCTTACCGACAAAAGAAATATTTTCATGTTCACGGCCGAAATCGGCCTGTGGCAAATCTTCCAGTTGTCGATTTTCGTTCTAAGCCACGAGAAATACCATTACCCAGGTCAAGGACCTAACTTTAGGTTTTTCTTTTCGTATTTTGTTTTACTTCCCCTTCCAGGAAATTTTGAGTGACATTGTCTATTAGAAATACGAATTTTCCTTTTTTTAGCAGCCATAATTCGAGAAAATCTCGACATACGTCCCTGGATTGAGAACGGTCAACGCTTTGCCTTTCATTTATTAACCTGACACAGCTGATTGGTGATATCAAACACGTGTAAAAAATTATCGTAATATTATACACCTTTTTAACAAGGATTTCCCAGCTCTTCTCAGGGCAGGAAATCGTTTTAAACCACCGCAATTTCTATAATAGCTTTTTCTTTAAGCTTTCTTATAACGAAATATATAAAACATCGCATTAACCTAAATTCAACTTTTTAGCCGATCCGTGCTATAATTACAGAAACCTGAGCGATGCTGACAGAAAGAGCACTTACAACACACCCTACGGTAGAGAAAAATGTGACGACGAATCCTCATCCATAATATTCGGGAATTGGTATCGTTTCGTGGGAGATGCAGGAACAAAAATGCCAACTCAGTGCGTACCGTATTATAGATGTGGTACGCACTTCTCAGGCTGGCTAAAAGGTGGTCACCCCACATTGGCAGATGGTGAGGTTTCCTCCAAGGTCTGCTTTACCAGAGGTGGAGATTGTTGCAGGAAATCAAATATTATTAAAGTGAAAGACTGGGGATCTTACTTTATTTACAAACTGCTAAAGGTACCTGTTTGTAATCTGCGCTACTGTGGCACGGACTAAATGCTATAAGCAAGTCATTCGGCTCAACGAAAGGATTCACAAATCGATTTTGTTATTGGCACATGCACATTAATCTATAACAGGGACTTTAAGAATTTCACATGATCCACTTTTTATGATTAGTGTTTTTTTTGTGTGTCTTTTTATGATTAGAAGAGTACCTTTGAACCGCGTAGTTTGATCTTCCAAGTAAGAGTACTCCTGAAAAGTTGTGACCGAAGGTTGTCAGTGTTACTGATTGACGTTTCTGTAACCTCGGCGGAAATCATCATCAGAGTCGACTGAACAATTGTTGTTTATCCAAGTATTAGGGGAGACTCCCCCACCCTCAGCTAGTGTCAACAACTATGGGCATTAATGAGCTTCCAAATAATCTTATCGTCATCTCTATCTATTCCAATCAAACATCTTCAGTAAGTTTTAAGCAAAACTTTGAGCATTGTATTTTGCTCATTATAAAACGTTTTGAACTATTGATGTTTACTCAGGTCTTTAGAAACTAAAGCAGCTTTTGATACCCACGCCTTCTGTACATGAAGTTGTTATTCTGTCTGAAAGCCTTCCACCTTGGGTCACGGCGGTCCGTGATTATAAGCAAGTTATTTACTATGTTCAGTCGTGCTTTCATTAGCATCATTATTTACAAGGATTTTTAAATCGTGTTCGGTGTGTTGTGGATAGAGAAATAAATAATTTCTAGAATTTTTAGTCACTATGACATCGATACTCAAACTTTCTGGTGACATATCACGGCAAACTAGAACATTCTAATGGGTTATGTGGTTACGATCTATTTCTACCGCAACAGTTGTGTTGTAAGCTTCGAATTCTGGAATGTTTTGAAGTACGTTATGACGGTATATAAGGACTCGGTCAGCTAGGAGTACTAATTTCTTTAGTCAGAAAAGACCGAATATCTAGGAAGCTCTACAAAAGATAGCTCAGTACTCAGTACTGTGATATACTTAAAAGATTGTTTATTTTGTGGAGATTCTCTCTCAGTAAAGAGCTAAGTTTTAGTCTGTAGTGGGCTTAAGTAAGTTTTTAAAGGACAATTATTGTATTGCCTATACGAGTAGCTCCTGAGAAAGAATCATTATACGTTGTTTAATAAAGTAGTTAAAATTTTAGGAGTTTAGTATTCCTTATTTTGATTTAATCATACCATAGCAGGTGAATCTTATAGGAAAGCGTGTTGGGTGAAATGGGTTAAATCTGAGTGATGTCTACGCTAGTAGTTCTTTCAAAGCCATTCCAACAAAAAGAGCTCCGAAATGAAGACCAGTTAAAACCTAATTTAATAACCTTTTCAGGTTATTTGTGTGTATGTGACCGGTAACAGAGATGGTGTGATCTGTTACTCTAGTTGCTTTATTTAACACTGACAGTGAGCCTAAGACAAATAGCACGTCTAAGTACTTCGAGGTTTACGTGTCTTTGTTGCACTTTAGAAAATCTGCATTGACTTTCCCAAGGGCCAAAATCCTCTTATCGCTTGCTATTCAAATTATCTACATGTAATCAGTGTAACGTTACATGAAACAATGAATTGTCACTTACTAAATGTCAGTAAATAAAATAGATTCCACTGTATCTTTTTCGTGTTGTTAAAGCTACTTTCGCTAGTGTTGTTGAAGCGCAAAGTTCATCATTCCATCGGGTGAATAATCAATAACCTCTGGAGGGGTTTCCGAACTTTAGGAAGTGAGAGGTTGATTTGTTGAGATATCTCTCTCCTTTAGTGAGACATCAACGGCCTTCCGACACATTTTAAATGTATCATTATTATCTAGGTTTAATTGGGCAATAATCTCAATTTTTTTAAATGAGCTCTCCTCTTGAGTTTATCAAGACAAATTTCTGACAGAAACAGGTTCGTTGATCAATTTTCCCTTTGGTCAATTGTTTGATGGGAAACTGATCTTTTCAAGAAATCCCACAGAATTAGCAAAAACACAAATACATGTACATTTACTTGAGAAAATATCTTTATTAGAGACACTGTTTAGTAGAGTAAATGGTTGTTGCTACGGTTATTATAATCAACTCTGTGTTTGGGGGATTTGGAGGAGTGGACTTAAGGTGGTTAGCTGCTTTAACTGTCCGATTACAGGTGACCAATTACAGTTGACTGTCCGATTGCACTGTCCGATTGCACTGTCCGATTACAACTCTACAGATTAATTAGTGCTAAAATAAAGCAGCTAAAGAACATAAACATTTGAGGACATTGTGATGGTTATGACTGGTCGTGGAGGAGAGAGATGCGATAATGTTGTGTTTTGTTACTTATACAACTCGTAAGTTTCATCAATCCATTAGCTTTGCTTGGTCTCTCAAAAACGCAACTGGTTCTTTACCTGTCTAGATGTAAACCGTAAATGTTGCTAGTCAAATCTGATTCAATTTCCCAAAGATTTCTGTCGCAAGATGGAATTTACATCTTATCTTGCTTTCCTTGGCAAACGGCTCACAAACCGCTTGATACGAACCGTAGAATCCCCTGTACAAGACCTCTGCTTAGCTTTATGCTACATGGAACCCAACTGTGTCAGCTATAACTAATAAATGACCAGCGGATCTCCAGTAATCACAAAATGTGAACTGAAAAATTCCACACACAATGAACATCATCAGGATCTCAAGTCTTGGACAAACTACAGATATAAAGGAACAATGGTAAGTAAATTCTTATCCTATTTATGGTTGTTTGGTGTTCTATCATGGCCATGCGCATAACATTACTTGCCATTTGGTAGATTAGTATGTAAAGTTAGCTCAACCTTGGGTTGTTTAGCTTGTAAATGTTTCGACGGTAAGTTGTTTCACTGATATGTTGTTTGGCTGGTTGCGCAATGTTTTTTTGCAATTGGTTTTTATGGTTGACGGGTTGCGTGGCTGGTTGTTTGGTTGGTTTGATCTCATGTGACATTTCAATTTTCATTTCAAAGTATCATTACCACTCACCACTTCAATTGGCATATATCTGCTTTTAAACCTCGTTTTCAGACCAGAAACCTTGTGGACAGACTCCATGCCAACATAATGGTACTTGTCAGACAGGATTTACAGACAAAGGTTACAGATGCCTTTGTCCACCTGAATACAAGGGCACCAACTGCGAGAAAAGAAACGGTTGGTAAAAATACATTTTTCATTTGGTGAAATACTTTTATCAAAAACTCTACGTAACCCTTTATGTTATCTTTTTGTAAGTCTTATTCAGCCCAACTCCATTATTTTTTTCAAAATCAAGTCATCATATATGTGCTGGTTCTTTTACCAACAGTAAGATGGATACAGATGATGCCATCTACAGTTTGCTTTGGGGCACGAGATGATTCGTAAGGTTTCTCTAGAACTTCCAAGGCGAGTAACATCATTACATTCAAATCAATGCATAAATCCGGTTACGTGACCTGTGATTCATCGAACCCAAGCTATCAATCCAAATGGGGATGCCTTTAGAACCGTCTCATTCCCAACCATATAGAGAAAAGATGCAAATGAGGTGCAGGCACGCAAAAACCACCAACGTGTTTGTGGTCTTTTTAATACTTACTGCTGCCTTCCCTCTGAAATACGACCACGAGGGTATATGTGTAAGACCTCACACTTTCTACTGGCCGGGTTTGGAGTTGCTTACGCATTTCACTGGCTGGAATATTAGGGTATTTGGTTGTTTCTCGTCTTCAGTGAACTGTTGGACTGAGAGCCCTATTTGCATAAGGAACAATGCCACGTTATTGGCTGGAGTCGAAGTATTGTTTCACTCTTCATTGAACAGTGATCTCTCTAATGGTGTTGTTCTCACCAATCTGTTTAATGGCTCTGCTTGTATTACATTCTTCCGACGTCCATGGATCAGCTACTACGTTCCACCCGAGTTCCTGGGAATTTTGAATATGCCTGATTTCTCATGTCGGTTACGCCTACGTAGGCACAGGTGTCCAATAGCCTACTATGCAAATTCATGTGCCTCATTCCATCAAGTGCTAATTGGCGATCTGGTCTTCAAACTTAATCCTGGTCCTGAGGGATGCGGTATATCAACAATTGTGAAATCACGCCATCAAAATAATGGAACTTTACGGGCGCCTCAATCACGTTCTTCATTGTCTAAATCAACAACTAGGAATGTCTCAAACTTTACTAAAGTGCATTGTTTGTCTGCCAACTACGTAAATGGGGTCTTTTTGTCAATTTGTCACATGAATGCCCAGTCGGTGCGCAACAAGACAGCCGATTTTGTAGATTACGTCTGTGAACGTAGATATGACTTGGTTGTGATTACCGAGACGTGGCTCCAGCCCCATGATGATGCGCTAAGATTAGAACTGTGTCCTCCTGGTTACAAGTTTATTGACTTTCCACGACAAGAACGGACAGGTGGAGGCATTGGACTACTGTACAAGGATTCACTTCGTGTTAGCACGACTCGAGATAGAATTCAAGAGTGGCTTGAATTTTGCCAGTTGTTGGTCCAAACGTCGACTTCCTGCAAGATACGGCTTGTGATCGTCTACCGTCCACAGAATTGTGATGACCACCGCAGGGTTCCCATTAACACTTTTCTGATGGAGTTTTCTGACCTGATGGAGTCCACTATTCTATCCAAAGAGCCTTTGATTGTCGTCGGTGATTACAACATACATGTGGATGTTCCTAATGACACTGATGCACTTAAGTTTTTAGATCTGCTTGAGTCTCTCGGTTTGGAGCAGCATGTGACAGAGCCAACGCACAAACGTGGTCACACCCTGGATCTTGTTATAACAAGAAAGATTGAGGATATTCTGGCGAGTCCACCACGCGCCTGTCGCTATTTCTCCGATCATGCAGCTGTACATTGTCATGTTGCCATAAGTAAGCCGTCATTTCAGACTAGGATAATAAAGTTTAGGAAAACTAAATCCTTGGACGCTGAGAGCCTATCGAACGATGTAGTACTTACAGGGCTATGTGATCGAGGTAATAGCGCTCCCATCACCCCACTGGATTTGGATGTACTTGTAGAGGATTACACGACCACACTCTCTCAAGTTCTTGATCGTCACGCACCTTTAAAAACCAAAACAGTGCGGGCTAGGCCCAAGGTACCCTGGTATACCAGTGAGATAGCCGAGGCAAAAAGGCGACGCCGGAAAGCAGAACGGAGATGGAGAAGAACACGATCACAGGAAGATTTGTTGGCATTCAAGAAACTCAAGAACCACGTTACTTATTTAAGCACACAGGCTAAGCATGCTTTCTACTCAGACTTTGTGAAGGACAATAGTGAAAACCAAGGAAAGCTATTCAGGGCCACTCGATCATTGTTACTTCCTAGGAATGAGTTGTGTTTTCCAGAATACACGGACAACTCAATCTTAGCCAACGATATCGGGCGGTTTTTCGACCGTAAGATTGCAAAGATTCGGGCAGAGCTTGATGCGTGTACTCTTCATCCTGGGGCGGTGGCTGAGGATAGAGTGTTTACAGGCGATAGGAAACTTGATCATTTCAATACGTATTCTGTGGAAGATATAAGGAAGCTGGTCAGTAGATCATCGAAGAAAAGCTGTCAACTTGATCCTATGCCGACCAATTTAGTAGTCGGCATGTCCGATATGCTTCTCCCCATCATCACTAATGTCGTGAATTCTTCACTTTCCTTGAGACACTTTCCATCTGATTGGAAAACGGCCCTTGTGGATCCAAGACTGAAGAAGACCAAGCAAGGGACTTCCTTATCCAATTTAAGACCTGTGAGTAATCTGCAATACCTCTCTAAATTGGTTGAAAGTGCAGTTTATGATCAGACAACGGATCACGTTACTCAGTCGGGTTTGTATCCCATCCTCCAGTCAGCCTATCGACTTGGTCATAGCACAGAGACTGCCCTATTGAAGATACAGAATGACATACTAGCTGCAATGGACAATCAACGAGTTACTCTTTTGGTATTGCTAGACCTGAGTGCAGCATTTGACACGATTGACCACCAAGTGTTGTTGAATCGCCTGTGCGTGACGTATGGAATTACAGGTACCGCTCTTAAATGGTTTCACTCGTATTTATCAAACAGGAAACAGCGAATCCTGATTAACGGGAGCTATTCGAGTGACTTTGATCTGCCTCAAGGGGTACCTCAAGGATCATGTCTTGGTCCCTTACTCTTCACGTTGTACCCAAGTAAGCTCTTCGATGTTGTTGAATCCCATCTCCCTAACGTTCACGCATACGCTGATGATATGCAGCTCTATATCTCATTTTAGCCGGATGGTTCTGCTACTGAGACGGATGCTGTTGACGCTCTACAAGCTTGCATCAGGGACATAAGAATCTGGATGGTCCAAGACAAACTTCGGCTGAACGATGCTAAGACCGAGTTTCTTATTATAGGTACACGCGCACAGTTAAATAAGGTTATGATAAGTGACTTGCAAGTAGGTAAGGTAAAGGTTTCTGCGGTTTACTCTGTTAGAAACCTGGGTGCTTGGTTTGATGCAAACATGAATATGACCACACATATTAACAGCATATGTCAGAATATTTATTACCATCTACATAACATCCGGCGTATTAGAAAGTATTTATCATATGATAATAGGAAGTCCATTGTACAGGCTATTATAATGTCACGATTAGACTATTGTAACGGTCTATTATATGGTACGCCCGCTGGTCATCTCGGTAAGCTGCAACGCCTGCAGAACGCGGGTGCTCGGCTGGTATGTACTATATCTAGGTATGATCCTATCATACCATCCCTGATCAACCTGCACTGGCTTCCGGTTACCCACAGAATAGCATTCAAGATAGCAATGCTAGTTCACAAACGTATCTACGGTGTCGCACCACAATATCTTTCAGACTTGATAAAAATCAAAGAGAGCTCGCGGTATCAGTTGAGATCATACCGGGGCATACTCCTAATGGACAATACCTATAGAACAAAAAAGACACTCAGGGATAGGGCGTTTGAAAATGCTGCACCCAAAGTATGGAATCGACTCCCTCTAGAAATTAGACAATGTCAATCATTGAACATTTTTAAAGTTTTACTAAAGACACATCTTTTTAAATGAGCTTTTTATTAGTTCTTTTATTAACTCATACTTTACTTTTATTGTTTTCCGAAAATTGTAAATTATTATTATTATTATTATTATCATTATCTGGACTAGCCATTTATTACTTTAAGATTTTAGTGTTGTAATGCGCACTCGATCATATCTTTATCGCATGCTAGACTGCGCAATATAAGGAAATAAACATTATTATTATTATTAACCAAATGGCCGCGTTGACATCTGACAAGAACCGCAATCTTCTTCTCCCAAAGAGTGATTTTCTATCAGATTATTGGGGCTGCAAGTTTTACAGCCTGCCTTGGGCCACAACCGAATCGCCACAACTGCTCTTTGATAATTTCTCTACCCCACTGACGGTGGAAACGAACCAAGAATTCCAAATCTGGTACAGTGAGGACTTGTTCAGATGGGGTTATGGCGATAATGGGTACGAGAAAACGTGTGTTGCAGTGTACGGTTTGTATGTTTGAGTAGTCACCCAAATTACAAAGTAAATTAAAAGAAAAGAGTGCCAAAATTGTTGTTCATGCCTTTATTACTTCAATATTAGATAGCTGCAACTCACGACTATATGGTCTACCGAAGTATCTACTTTCAAGATTGCAATCCGTTTGAAATATAGCAGCTCGAATTATTACACGTACTAGGATACTGATCGTATGACCCCAATCCTAAAAAAAAAAAAGCTTCACTGGCTTCCTGTCCGTCACTGTATAGTTTATAAAATTCTTCCACTGGTCTACAAAGCTATCAATGGAGCAGTGCCTTGCTGCATCAGTGACGTACTTAATTATTGCACCTCTGAACGGACACTAAGATCCTCTTTTCAACACCTTCTGGCGACCCCAAAAGCGAGACTAAAGACCAGGGCGGGACCAGGACTATGGAACTCGATCCCACTCGAACTAAGATCTAGTTCTTCAATTGACATTTTTAAAAGACATTTTAAAACGTATCTTTTTAAACAAGCTCATAACTCCTTTTAGTTTTATTAGATGATAAATATGTTTCATTACTCAGAATTTTTCAATTTGTTTATTCCCATATATAAATGTATATTTTTTCTTTTCTTTCCCCTTTTTTTTTTAGCTTTTTTATGACCTTAACGTAAAGCACCATGGACAATTAGTGGATTGGCGATGTATTAATATATTTACCATTATCATTTATAATACATGTACTTATGACGTCAGGAAAAAATTTTCTAACTTTAGTTATGTTCCTCTCTTCGATTCAAGAACGAAGGAAAAGAATGCTTGTCCTGGTAAAGGCCTTGCTTGGAATCGAGAATTCATAAGAATGATCTGTGCGACTTTACAATATGCACCCTAAGTTTATAGAGATGAAATAAAGAAACTTGAACATATGCTGGTCTATTCTCATTTTCGCCTTGCACCCTTTCCTACAATGGTTGGCCTCCGGGTTCATGGAACATTTGAGAATTAAACTGGCGAGTTCAAATTCAAATTCTGCCTCTATTTTCTTATGTAAGATATCTCAAACTGGTATTAGTTCTGCGAGCATTCGCCCTTTTGAATTTTAAAGTTCAATTTGCTGCCCTCTACACTCGCTGGAAAACAAAACCTACTCTGATTTCCTAGAATACTTTGTCATTCCCGTCGTACTCAAAGGTTTTCCACGGACTTCACAATGATTTTCATATCCAGAACCAAATTATACTCAGCAGAAAGTAAGGGAGGCTACAAGGTACAATTGAGTATTTTCAACTGAGTTGATAACCTAAATTAGCCACCGGAAAGAGTCTAAAGCTGACGAATCGAGCGTTAGTCCGTAGTTACTCGCTCTGACGAAGGGCGAACGCTCTAAACGTCAGCTTTAAAACTCTTTACGGATTCCAATTTACGTTACTAACTCAGTTGCTAAAACTAAATTACCCTGTGATACTCTCCCATCCAAGCAGCACCAAAATTTCTTTAGAAACTTCGTCCCTCTAATAAAAGGAAGTTGGGTTTCTTCTCCATAAAACACCTTATGCATGAACCTTTTGACTTATTTGGAAAATAGAATAAAAAAGATGGTTAGATTTCGAGCCCACTAAAGAAATAAAGAAAGAAATTTTTTTCGTCACGTCACGAGCGTGAGACAAAGAAAAAATGCTGAGTCCCCATGAGAATCGGACCTCAAATCTTCGGACTCCGCGCTCCGACGTTCTACAACTGAGCCAAGGAGACTCTGTGGTGGGCAAGGCCCACTCCGAAGCTCATGCATGATACACGTCCTACAAACTGCTATTATCAGGGTAACAAAGGCCAACAAATAGTGTAACAACAGGGTAATTGCTTTCATCAAGAGAAAGTAATGGTCCCATTATTTCTTTTGTTTTTATTTTTAAATTCAAGTTTTACAGGAAAAGAAGTGGCCAATATTCGTGGGTCATGTGTAACGAGTAAATTGTCGCGACAAATTTTCGCGGGTAAGTATCACGGATGAATTGAAAAAAAAGGGTCGTTCAGTTAGAAAAAAGCCGTGAGTAAAGGACATTGTCGTAATAAAATCTGCTATTAATTTTACACCTTGAAATTCAAAAAAGAGATGGGGAGAGAGAAGTCAGCTGGGAAGAGCTGAGAAGAAGGCAAAGGGCAAACAGCATTGAGGGCCTCTGGCCACGGCGAAGATGGACTGAATTATGGTAAATAGTAATATAAATAGCAACAAAAAATTAACACCAACACATTTATTTCTTTAAAACTTAAAGAGTAATAATTCGACAGAAAACTTTTTCGCGAACTGAAGGACGAAAGGTCTTGAAACCACACTGTCCGCTACGAAAATAATGGGTCAGGCAGTGCACGATTTTTCATTCACTTTCCGTTATTCAATATCCTTTCCTATCCAGATTAATAACTCAAACATTTAAAAAATAAACGAATGACATTGTGGCACAACGTCTATCACATATCAATTTCAGATAGTGCACGGCTGTCGTTCCCCGCTTCGCATATGTTGTAATCAAATAGTTTTTCTTCGTTTTCAGATATGGTGGCGGATCACAGAGCAGTTTCGATAGCCCGTTTACAATATTATAGATCATAACGCCACATAAATTTAAAACGTTTTTTTAAAGGCTTCGAGCACATTTTCCACGAAAAATGTCGATCGCAGTTATTAATGTAACTCCAAAAACTGACAAATTTCAGAATAATTGAAACAGGATCATGACTTTCCTATTAATTTCATGTTTATTATTACCAAAGTTGGCAATAAAATAATTATACGTCGATAAATTCAAACGCGATAAATTTTGCGATGTGTTTATCTTTTTTGCGCCGGATGCATTTTTTGATCTTTCACAATTTGAAAGTATTTGGACCAAAAAGTCCAATAGAACTTGAAGGTTTAAGTTTCTGTTATCCTAAGAATATGGAATTATATTCCCTAAGAGACCTTATTCCTTTTTATTGAGCACAGCGCAAAACAACTATTTGCGTCATTTGCGCTAATTTCCACATAGAACTGACAGCTGCTGAGAGCTTTGTTTAATGTATTTTCATGATACGCTTTCCTTCATAACAATAGGTCGGTTTGGGCTGCTAAGTCCACTGCTGGGAGCTGGTGATCGACTTAAAACTTTTAGCACACGTGCGGGGTAGAAATGGAAGACCGTAATCTTGAATTGACTTGCTTGACGTTCGGTAAAGGTGACTGGAAAACTGCCAATCATTATCCATCGTCGATTCATTTATGAGTGCAATCCTATTTCATATATCACTTTCATTCTCTTGGCTGATACAGAAAGGATAAACGTTACAAAATAAACCAAATTAGGAAAACAGCCACGTTCAACATCCACCCATGATTGGAACTCATTTTTGTGAAATTAAAGGGTATTTAACGAAGATTATTAAATGCATCCTACTCAGAAAGTTGGATATAAGATGCAAAACACAAACAACTTCGATAACTAACTATTAAGTCAATTAAAAATCCTACATTCCCAACTCTGTTCTCTCAATAACATGCACGTATTACACTGTTAAGTTAATTTCCATTGTAGTTTAGTAAACAGAATTTGATGTCTTTTCATCGAGAGGAGGTAGATTTTTACCGCTCTCGACCATCTCAGAGAATTTTGTTTTACCTTAGAACATTGATGGAACATGAAAGAGTATTTTATAAGTTCTAAAGAAAGCTATTGGCGCAAAAGTCTTTAAGGACTAGTTTAAAATACTCTCTTCAAAAATTTCACCAAAAACTTAATGACCCAGTATGGTTGAATTATTGGAAAAATTTGCATAAATGTTGCGTACAACTTATAAAGTTTCTCTAGTTTGAAAATTTATGGCGTTGCAACGTTCGCTCGTTTGCCATTAATCAATAATAACTTTGATTTGGAAAGATGCTTCTTAATCTTTTTCGTCGACTTCAAATGCCAAGATCAAAACTTTTTACAGAGGAAGAATAGTTTTTGCCGTGTTATTTCTGGAAAGAACCTCATTTATACTCACAAAGGCTGGGTGTACATAACAGGTGGCATCTGTAAACAATTAAAAAAGAAATGATAACTTGACTACTCTCCATCTGAGATGTATAACGTTCAACTTTCAAATCAACTTATCTTCCGGGAAGGGTCGATTTATCACGTTTATACTAAATTTATCAATAAAAACATTTTTAATCGTATTAGCATAAATTACCTCGACTCGAGGGAAAACAAAACTAACTGCTTCGCTCGGGAACATACATTTAGTGTAGCAATTGCAATTTTTTTTTATAACTTCTCCACTATGAACTTTAATGATCAGTTTGCTTCCCTTGACATTTGTTTGAAAAAAAAATTACATTCCTTCCGCGAATCCTTTGTCATTCGCGTCAAGTACCTGCAGTTTTTTAAATGGACGTTATAATTATTTCCAGATGTAGATGCTACTCAGAGGGAAGTGATCGAAGTAGTTTGTTCGTTCACAAAAGGCCTTATGCAAAAACATTTTTAGCAAATTATTTAGAAAAGAATCCTCGATAAACTCCTTTTTTTTATTTTCTTTTTTAAAATGGATGATTTGGTGCAAAGTGCGTTTACTTTTCTCAATCCAAGGTTGTTTGTTGAATTTACTTTTGTCAGTAAATGCATATGGTGTTTATATAATAAACAAAAAAATAGATGGTTCCCCGTAGATATGGAATTTCCTGTTTCGTGTTCAACACTCACGAGTGAGTGCAGTGAACGAGAAGAGAAAATAGAGTGGTTTAGCAAGAGGACGGGAACGTCATTTGAGAACGGCGCGCGCAGCAAAAATGCCGAGAAGAAACTGGGTCGAGAACGCCGTCGCGTTGTGTTGAAAAGTGATTTAGCAAGGGAAACGTGCAGCAAATTCTTGTTCTAGAATATCAATTGACTATCGGTAAAATTCTCGTCGTAAATTGCTAGTTAATCAGCTACAATTTAGGGCAACGAAATTAATGCTACTGTATACCACTTGTCAAACGCAGGCGGGGACGACTACGGCACGAGTTACTCGCTAGGACTTTGTTTGAATAGCAAATGAGGTGAATTTCGAAATTCTACTTTGACTTAAACAAAATTTGGGAGGGTAGTTTTGTATTAATTTCTGTAGAATTTAGCCTATTAAATGTGTTTTTGTGAAATTTGTGTAATTGTCGTCATCTTTTCATGCGAGTTGTTTTCGTGAGAACGGCTTTCGTGATCTCTGTATTGCGATTCCTTTGTGGCTTCCCATATCATAGATCATGGCGAGTGGTGGTTTAAGCTCTGTCCGCGATGCTTTGTTAACAGCCAGCTTCTATGATATTATCGACGATGACGAATTTGTTCTTCTATATGACGCCTATTCGTCAAAACCTATTTTCCCATACTGGAAATTCCCCAGATTCAGTGTAGACGAGTGGAGCGATGTGGAGTGCAAGACTGAGCTTAAATTTGCGAAGAAACATCTGCCTGAATTATGTGAATGTTTAGGAATTCCTGGAAAAATTACATGCGTGCAAAGAACAGTATGTGGTGGGATGGAGGGCCTGTGCATTTTATTGAAGAGGTTGGCATACCCTTGTAGATACACAGACATGGTACCCCGCTTTGGCAGGAATCCGACCGAGCTTTGCTTAATCTTCAACACTATGATCGATTTTATCTACGATAATCATAACCATCGACTTCGCAGCTGGGATCAGTTCTTTTTACAGCCTAACCAGCTGTACAGCTATGCAGAGGCTGTGCACCGTCTTGGTGCTCCATTAGGCAATTGTTTTGGGTTTATTGATGGTACTGTGCGTGGAATAGCGAGGCCACAAGAAAACCAAAGGGTTATGTACAATGGCCACAAGAGAATACATTCCATAAAATTTCAGAGTGTTGTCATCCCAAACGGATTAATTGCAAACCTTCATGGCCCCTTTGAAGGTAAAAGACACGACAGCACAATGCTCCAACAAACAGACATTCTCAATGAGCTTCGGAGGGTGGCATTTCATAATGGGCATCCTCTTTGTCTTTATGGTGATCCTGCATACCCGTTGGGTGTTCACCTTCAGGCCCCTTTTAAAAACATTCAACTCACTCCACAAATGGTTTTGTACAATGCGGCCATGAGTGAAGTAAGAGTTGCAGTTGAGTGGCTTTTTGGTAATATTACAAACTATTTTAAGTTTATTGATTTTAAAAGCCAATTACAAATTAACTTGTTCAGTGGGGAAATTTTACATTGTTTGTGCCCTTTTGGAAAATGCGTTGACCTGTCTGTATCGTAACATTGTGTCAGAAAAGTTTGAAGTTCAACCACCTTCTTTACAGGACTACTTCCAATAATTTGAATTCGTTTCATTTTGTATTTTGGCCAATAGAAGAGTTACACTTATTGATGTTGGAGGGTTAAAAATTTAAAGAAAAATTGTATTAGTAATCACTTGTACATTGTTTACCTTGTTTTGGGGCTTTCTATGAGTGCGGAGTATTGTAAATCCAAATTTGTAAAATAAGCTGATGAGTGAGAAAAATATTTTCTTCAGTAGAAATAAACATCAGCACAACCTACATGTGTGGACATTTCTGTTTACACTTAATACTTTTGTGACATTTGTGCAAATTTTTGTGCCATCATGGATTTAATCAATTAGTATACTTGCTAACTTAGGTCACGGAATTCCTTGAAAAGTAATGGAAATTTTCATAGCTCAAAAGTGTATTACCCCTGGCCCCTGGTTAATGTGCACCAATAACTTTATCTGGTAAACACAACATTTGTTTTATGATTGTACAAAGTGCTTTTTAATGATCAAGGTTGTGGTTTTCTTTTTTATTCGTAAAATGGGCTGCTGCCCAAAAATTTTATTTAATAAATAAAGATAATCGAGATAAGTGGCCTTTACAATACAAAATATGCTCTATTTGATTAAAAATTTTGTTTTATATAACAAAAAATAAAAAACATGCAAAACTCAGGTAATGACATTGCATTCAATGTTGATGTATATCAAAGCCAAACCCTTAAACTCTGTTAAACTGTTGCTGAAATGCATGTGTTTGATGTGTCAAAACTTGCATCATTTGATGCTGCATCATGGCAAATTGTTGTTGTTGTTCGCTGTGCTGTTGCTGCTGTTGCTGCATTTGTTGCAGCAGTTGTTGTTGAAATAATTTCATTTGCTCATTTTGAGCTTGCATTTGAGCCATAAACTGTTCAGTTTGAGCTCTTTGGGCTTGTCGTTCTTCCCTTCTTTCTTGGAGTTCTTGCTCCTTCATCTCTCGCATATTCTCTCCCTTTTCTCTCAACCACTCAATTGCCTCTCCTGATCTTCTTCTTTTTTTCTCCTTTTTCCCTTCATCCTTTTCTGTTTCTTCTCGTCTCTTTTTGGTTTGACTGAACCTCTCCATTGCTCTCTCCCTCATCTCTATTGCCTTCTTTTTCTCTCCCTCTACCAGTTTCTTGGCCTCGTCCTTCTGCTCTTTTGTCTTCTCAGATTCCATCTCTAATTCCACTAACTCCTCCACCAGCTTTTCAGCTTCACTCATTTCTTTATCTCCTCCACCACTCTCTCTCTCCTCTTGTCTAACTTTTACTCGCCATTTCTTTGCCAGAATATTGAAGCGGTCTCTCACCGATCGTGAAATGACAGGCATACCTTCTGCCATAAGAGAAGAGGCAACAACCTGCCATAATGCTCCTCTCTCCCTTGATCCTGCCCTACTATTGATAAAAACACCCTCAGCCGCCACAGCTCTCAAGAGTTTGACATCTTTTTCTTCAGTCCACACCATTATAGATCTAATAACAATCATAAACAAAAACTTCTTTGAAAAGTGGCTATATAAACAAATATTACATCTTAACCTAACATATATCACTTGAAAATAGGAGGTACAATCATTCATTTAACCTATTTTTTAAATGAGAAAAACAGCTTATTTCAGTCTTCAGAACTACAACTGCACAGCCAGTGTAACAGATATGATTAGAAAACTAGGATGGGTCACAAGAAAAAAGAGTGATGAAGAACAGACTAACACAAATATGTAAAATCAGGTATAATCTTCCTGACAATAAATCAGAAAAATATTTAAGATTTTGTGATGAGACCTGTACATGTGGAAGCTGTCTAACGAAATATAACATTCCAACAAAAGATTAGCTAAAACAACAAAATATTCTGCCAAAGTACTCCTATTATCAAATACTGTATCATCTGGTAAAACACATGGCTAATTTGCATAATTTTATTTTCTCATTTTGTTTTATATATTTTAATTTCTTCGCGTTCAAAATTGCACTAAAAAAAGGTTTAAACTTATTTACAAGATATTAAATTTCATCCTCACTTTTTCTTTAGGCCTGGGCTTTCTGAGCTGCTTTCTTCCATTGTAAAAATAGCATCAACAACCACTGAAAAAAATGTTGCATCGATTTTATTGAATCGACTGCTCGACTTGCTCATGCTGTTTATACTAAAACACGATATATTGCGAAAGTTATTGTTCTAAGATTTCTCAGAGTACCTTTATAAGATGAAAAACTGTGAAAGAGAAGAACCCATACATCGGTGAAAAAAAAACCATCTAAGTGGCGTGATACTAATAATTAATTGAAACTTCCGATCACATCCGTACGAAGAACCTGACTCATGTATCAGAGCACTTTTGACAACACTTCCAGAAAAAAACTACAGTGAGAAATTACCTATCCTGGAAATTATTTTTCGATTATTCTATGAGATTCCCTTACCTTTTAAACCGGTTTAATGAAGGCAAATCCAAGCCGTCTTGATCAGGACGGGAAAACCTACCAAATGCCGTCCTAAACTTGTTGTGAGACCGGCAACGCCATCACCGGAAGTCGTATTAGACTCGTGTCCAGACTCTCCGCGCGCTTTCCCGTTCTGAAATGACGTTCCCGTCCTCTTGCTAAACCACTCTATTATCTACGCGCGCTCATCTATTGTGCTTCGTGATTAAACGCCAGGGTACATCTGGAAGACAATAATGGTTAGAGTGGGAATAGTGGTAATTAGACCTAATAAATTATTAAATTCTCCATTATCCCCATAAACATCCTTGTTAACCTTGAAGCTTATCCGCAATTAGAAGAATGTACATACCAAAGAAGGCCTAACTATCAGTGTGTTAAAGATCTTGGAACTTCGAGAACATGTGAGGACATGTAAATCAAGCATCACTAACGTAAGAAATTACCCAAAGCTTGATCATGAAACTCAAACCACTTTCTTACTTAGATATAAAAGTAAATATGTTCATAACTAAACTCAGGGTCAGAAAACAAAGCAAAGAAAACTTGGAGAATCTCGCACAATCATCGATCAAGCTTGAACTTGTCGGGGAAAAGGAATTTAAGTTATTTCAGATAAACGACCACCACTACGACCATTGTGCATAATTGAATTGATAGATAATATCGGAAAGTAATGACTCGAGGTTTTCTTCTGATGTCAGTTAAGCTTATCATTATTTTAACGCAACGTGGCTGAGATTAGGAATGCCCCATTTTATTTCATGATCCCTCTCAAGAATTGGAAGGTAAAGAATCCAAAAAGAACACCATTCACAGACGCAATTTTTGACTACAGACAATATCGAAAAAACAAGGAAAACAGGTTGTCATAGCCCTCTCAGATATGTTTACAACAAGACCGTATGCGTCTGTTATAGACACGATATGCAAAAAGGCGGTCGTCAGATTCCAAGAGAATAAGGGAGTTTTGAGTAGTTTAAGAACACCTGGTGGAGGGAGATATCCACACGCTAAATTTTTATGATATTGTTCTAAGGACTGATTTCGGTGTCTGATACGTATGTTAACATGTAAAGATAAATAATTATTCTTAAGAGACCCAATTCTCTCCATCGAGCGAAGCGGTTAACATCCATTTGCGTCATTTGCTTTAATTTCCACATAGAACTGACAGCTGTAAGCTTTTTTCTTTAATTTATTATCATAAAACGGTTGCGTTCACAAAAAAACAGGTCGATTTTGGAAGTTGAATCCACTGATGAGGGCTGGTGATCAACTTAAACTTATGCCATGCATGCGGGGTAGAAACAGAAAACCGTTACCTCGAAGCAGGCACGGAATTTGTCTCATTTTTCATGATAGTAGCCTAGAATGCATTATTGAATTATAGAAAAGGTGAGTCGCAGACGGCGAAGAAAGTTTTATCCTTCGATTCACGGATGAGAGCAACCTTATTTCTCTTTTATTCTCTTTTGCTGATACAAAAAGAGTTAAGGTAACAGCAGCTAGCAAAGACTAAGTCAAAAACCGACAACCATGGCGTGTCCTAATGGAAATTACCATAAATTTCCTCTTTCTATGATCATCGGTCTAAATAACCAAAGACAATCATGTAAACTCGAATATGAAACTTTGAATTTTCAAGCACCTGTATAATGAAGAAAGCGAAAAAAAGTTTATAGAGGAAAATAAATATTTTTTCATGACTTATCGATCATGAAGTAGAAGAGGAACTTGAAAAAATCAGCGTATAGCTTTTATTAACGGCTTTTGCTCTGTCTTCCTTAAAACAATGTAGTTCAGGAGAAACAAAACACACGAAAATGCTTTCTAGAAATCTTGTGTCTTCACAAAAGACAAGCGTATGCAGTATGCTACCAATTTTTGTTCTCATTTCATTGTTGTTTTTAACGTTTTGGGGAGGGAGTCGGGGCTGGAGTTAATTATCTAGGGCCCTATTATACAAAAAATCAGGAATTTAAGATATATCCGTGGTAACAGCGACATCAGACGAGTGCAGAGTTCTGTCAACGTTTCGAGGTTTTGAAGATTTGAGTAGTGGGTACTAAAAGAAAGAAAGGGAAAAAAGGAAAAAAAGGAAGAAAATAAGAGGGTAGAGGGAAAAGAAAGAAAGCGAGAAAAAAAAGGTAAAGGCAAGAAAACCTGCTCATCAGTTAATTTCTTTGTTCAAGGAAAAGAAACCGAGTTCCTAACGTACTGGAAAGTGCCTGAAGGCTACATGTGGCTCAAACAATCAAGACTCAAGGTCACGTTTATGTATAAAATATCACGCATGATTGCATCATTAACAATTACGAAACTGAAACTCGAAACTGAAAGCCACGCCGACGAACAGACTTTTACAATTAAGAAAGATGCTGTGTTAACCTTTCATGATTATAAGCTAAAACTTCGAGTGAAGGGAATCATCTGCTTGAGAGTGAAGTAAATCCTGCATTCACGCCTAGAGATCTCATCTGAGATGGCGTCGTCAGAAAAAATGGATCATATCCATCCAAAACCTCCAAATCTCGGAGAACAACTCTCCATTACGGGAAGCAGAGATCTACTGACAGCTGCCAATCGTTCTTCTAGATCCCGCCGAAGAGTTATGGTCATTCTTGTTGCTATTGCAGTGGCAATTTCTGCAATCATCGCAGCAGCGTTCATTGGAAAATACGTTTCAGAATACCCTAGTGATGATAACATGAAAAGTAAGTATCAGATGTCACTCAAGTTTTGCTATTTATTCAGAAGTCAACAATAAAAAACAAACATATTTGAACAAAAGAGAGAAGTTGGTCGAAATTTCAGCACATCGATGTGTCGTTGTCGATGTCCTCAGTAATAGAAATTAATCATCTTATTTTCACATAAAGCTAAAAGCTAGCGGACAAAATTAATCAATAGATATATGGACAAGACGATAAAAGTATTCAGTTTGATCATGTAAATGGTAAGCATTAAAGAAGGAAACACGTAGGAGCACTTTCGTTCGCGTTGTCCAAACCCCGCCAGATTTATTTTTCAAATTCGATATCATAAGCTTCGTAAATTTAAAAATACCAATTCTACAAAAAAGTCATAAAGCTGACGTTTTTGTCCTCTCATCAATGTTAGGGTAAGAGCGATAAGTTTTAAATGTGCTTTGGAAATCAAAGAGGCAAGCGATCCGTTGACAGAACATGCACGAGCACATAAGTAGCTGCGAGGCTACTTAAGAGCATTCCAGCGGTAAAATTTCAGTTTTACAGTGATATCTGCCTGTTTGAATTACCCAGTGGTTACCCAAGCGTGTGTTCCTACAGAAGTGAAGTAGGCTCCCGAATACAACCAAAAGTTACAAAATGGCCAATAATTAGCAGATAACCATTGTTCCAGTTGTTTTCTTAATACCTAGTTTCATCAGTTAGCTTTAGATTAGTAATAAATTAGTCCTTTTATGGAGCCTGGGAAAAAATCTACGTCATTCCATGCATTTTTAAAGAAGTCATGTACAGTTCAATTTTGGGATCATTCGCGATCCGGATTAACTTTTTAGAAAAACTTTTTTAAAACTTTTTCTTAAATAATAAACAGCACTGCATGGAATGAGATGCTAAAAACTTGCTTCATTCTCATACGCGTCCTATTTGACAACAGCAGGAGTTTATTCAAGTAGGCAAATAAGTTTGCTCAGTGAAGTGAAATGAAGCAAAAGTATGGCAAAAGTGTTCTACATGCGTGACATTTTGAAGAAGTTACATATAAGAGTACGCGTTGTGTATGGTGGTCAAAGATTAAGAACTAAATCTACGAGCTGAGTTCATGTAAGTTTTGCACACGAATTTTGGTTCTTGAGTCCATGCTATTTTGATGTAGAAGGCAGAAATAGCAGCTCTAATTTCACTTTAATGGCGTAGGGTGTCACGATGACAAATGGCAAGTTAAGTCGATTAATTTACTTTTCTGATACTTTGTTTTCTTTAACTCTAGATTGCACTGAATTATAAATTCTTCGGACAACAATCAGGCCAAAACGATGTCATATTTCCTCCCAGGGTTAAAGTTAAAATGAATGCTTTCATAAAAAAATTCGTCTCTTGTGTTGTTCCTCCATTAAGCTACCTTTTTCTACATTTACTTGTGTCCTCAGGCATCGACGAGTGTAGCACTGGAATCTATGTGTGTGACATAAATGCAAACTGTACTAACACTGACGACTCTTATATCTGCGCCTGCAAGGAAGGATACACCGGAGACGGGCATTCATGCCAAGGTATAATCATTGCATATGACCTAACAAATAGCGGAATAAAGTTTCCCACAAATAAAAAAACACTTTCCATTAACACTTAGAAATCTGATGTTTTTCTCCCTGTCTAGTAACGTTTTGGCAATTCGTTTTTGTTCACAGATGTCAATGAGTGTAGCGATGGCAACCATGTTTGCGATGTTAATTCGAATTGTAACAACACAAATGGTTCTCATATTTGTACCTGCAAAGAAGGATACGCTGGAGATGGACAGTCATGTCAAGGTGAATACGAGTAGTCCACGCTGCTAAAAACAAACAGCTTTGCTCCTAAGCTATTGCCCATGAAAATTAGCCCACATTTTAGAGGCCTGTTTTGACGCACCACTATCGTATTTCTATTAAATTACCTTTATACATCACTGACGCTGCTAGATATCGACGAATGCAGCAAAGGAAGCCATGATTGTGACATAAATGCGCACTGCACCAACACTGATGGCTCCCATAGCTGCACCTGTAAGGAAGGATACACTGGAAAAGGAGAATCATGCCGAGGTAAAATTAGATTAGACTTTGAAAAAAAGCAGAATAACTGTTCATCACAAATAATTGCCTTATCATCCAAACAAACTGGCTGAAGATTTTTTCCTCTATTCAATTACCCATTGCAAATCTTTTGTGTTCACAGATGTTAATGAATGCAACGATGATGTTTGTGATGCTAATACTAACTGTACCAACACTGTTAAGAATATATGAAAGTCACATATTTGAACTGCAGATAAAGACGTAAATGAAAGTGATCCTCGCAGTAATGTGCACTACTTAGGCAGTAGTGGAAATAAGGTCTGAAAAAAAAAAAAGCAGGCCTGTACGGGATTTGAACACATGACCTCTGCGATACCGGTGCAGCGCTCTACCAACTGAGCTATCATGCCAACCGGGAGCCTGTCATGATGTTGGTTCTAAATAAACCCGTGAAGTGATGAATAAACGGTTAAGAATATATGAAAGTCATATATTTGAACTGCGGATAAAGACGTGGATGAAAGTGATCCTCGCAGGAATGTACACTACTTAGGCAGTAGTGGAAATAAGGCCTGAAAAAAATTCAGGCCTGTACGGGATTTGAACCCATGACCTCTGCGATACCGGTGCAGCGCTCTACCAACTGAGCTAACAAGCCAACTGGGAGCGGGTCATGATGTTGGTTCTAAATTTTTACCAACACTAATGGTTCACATAATTGCATCTGTTAGGAAAGATACATTAGAGATGTACAGTCTTGCCAATGTAGATTAGAACAGCGACACCTTATGTCGAGCAAAGCACCTTTCCATAACCAGAATTGTCTTCGTAACTGGGCTAACGATCAAGAGGCAACGCAATGGTTTTCACACCCCGACCTATGTTCATGTGCTCGCAGAGTTCCTTTATGTATTATCTATTCTTTTGATTTTTGTCCTATTGCTGAGATAACTTAAGAAGCGCCCCTCTCGACTAATCGACAAAGCGCCCACCCTACAAATAAGTGCCCCCTCCCCCTCTCCCTCAAAGTTTTTGCCGAAACTTTCAATAAGCGCCCAAGCACATATTGAAAATGTCTATCATTTCAATTATTGAAGTACACACAATATCGGCTGAGGAACTAAACGTGTATCTTGCGGAGTTTATTCACTGTTTTCAACTTAAAGACAGAGACGATTATGAACGCTCAGGCTTAACCTGACTTCAGTATCGAGAGGTATTTAGATATTTTTTGCCAGCTGATAGTATGTTGCATTATTTCTATCGAGAAGGGACGTTTGAATGGTTTAAATCTTTCATGATCGATTTATAAACCATTGTCTGTTTGACAGTTAAATGTTATAAAGGAGGAATTTACTCTCCTTACGTACATGTAAACTTTATAATAAACCTCATACATCACGTAAAGACTGTCCTTACGGTACATAAACAATCGTTGCTGTATATAAAAAATCTTACTCGGTTCTTGCGCTCACTGCCTCGATTTCCGATACTACGAGTTCGTGCGTAAATACCACATAGACAGATTTTCTATGAAGTATTACATATCTATATTATTTGTAATACTAGATATTGATGAGTGCCTCAATAGAAGCCATGCTTGTGACGTGACTGTGAATTGTACCAACACTGACGGCTCCCACATCTGCACCTGTAAGGAAGGATACACTGGGGACGGACACTCATGCCAAGGTATAATCATTACATAAGACTTTGCAAATAGCAGAACGAAGTTTCCCACAAATAAAACAAAACTCTTTCTTTAAAAACTCAGAAATTTGATGTTTGTCTCTGTCAAGTAACGTTTCGGCAATTCCTTTTTGTTCTCAGATATCATGTCAATTCGAATTGTAACAACACAGATGGTTCTCACATTTGTACTTGCAAGGAAGGATACACTGGAGACGGACAGTCATGTCAAGGTGAATAAGAGTTGCCTACACTAATTAAAACAAGCAGCTTTGCACATAAACTATCGCCCATGGGAATTAGCACACACTTTAGAGGCCTGTTTTCACGCACCACTGTCATATTGCTATGGCGTTACCTCTTATACATCACTTATGCTTCTAGATATCGATGAATGCAGCAATGGAAGCCATGATTGTGACGTGAATGCGAATTGTACCAACACTAATGGCTCCCATAGCTGTACCTGTAAGGAAGGATACACTGGAAAAGGAGAGTCATGCCAAGCTAAAATTAAATTAGACTTAGAAAAAAGTAGAATAACCTTTCATCAGAAATAATTGCCTTGTTATCCGACAAACTGGCTAAGATTCTACTCAGTTACCCTTTGCAAATCTATTATGTTCACAGATATTGATGAATGCAACGATAATAGTCATGTTTGTGATGCTAATGTTAACTGTACCAACACAAATGGTTCATATAATTGCATCTGTAAGAAAGGATACATTATAAATGGACAGTCTTGCCAACGTAGATTAGAAAAGCGATACTTCATGATCATGTCGAGCAAAGAAGCTTTTCATAATAAGTATTGTCTTAGTAACTGAGGTTATGATCAGGAAGCAACTTGATGATTTTCACGCCCCGACCTCGTATTTCTATTAAGTTACGGGTTTCATTATATGCATGCATTCACATTTTACCAAGATTTAAAATATAATACGCGCAGATATTTTACAAGTTGCCTGGTATTTTTTCGAGCGCGAAAGGAACAAGGATAATTAAGAGCAATGAGAAAGATTTCCTCTCGTATTATATGATAAATCGTCGAATATGTGATTTATTATTAGTTCCTCGCTTTTTTAAATAGTATAGATAAAAGGAAAAATCTCTTTGTACAGCCACACTTTTTTTATAACTTTTCAACCTTCAACAACAGCGCAATCAGTACAGCAGAATAATTTTACTTTCAATTTGAGATTTTTTTAAATCTTCATGTGCTTTCAGAGTTCCTCTACTTATTATCTTTTATTTTGATTTTGATGTCCTATTGCTGAGATAACTTAAGGCGGGGTTCCACCTGAAAAAGTGACATTTTTGCATCACTTGTGACAGCTATGGTTTTCATCAAAATCATAGCACACTATACATCATTAGAAAGCTATCGGCCTGAATATTATGAAAATGTGTATTTGAATGCGGTATTTGTTTTTGTAACCTGATACCAAGCCCCTTGAATAGCACATGCTGTGGCTGACCTGGACCTACTTGAGAAAGGATTTTTACATATAGTTTCACATGAAACATGTATTTTTACTATTTTTCTCAAGTAAACAGATTGCTTACTGGGATGAATGAAGGACTTTGCAAAATTTCAAAATGTGAAGCCTCAACACCCATCTAAAGTTGCGCAATCAAAATTAGGAAGCATTTCTTAAAATAACCTTTTTTCTAAACACTTATGACAAATTCCTTCATTCATCACAACTAACTCCGTGAGACCCAGCTAACCTGAAAAGTTCAGGTCAATAGCTCAAGTCCCTCTTGAGTTATCTTTTCTCAAAGGCAAAAATGCCGCATTTTGAGAAACGCAGCCTTAAACTTCAGAAATGGAATAATTTGGACGAGACTGCACAGGTACTTGATGCGTTTCTTTTGTAACCATTCCCAACAGAAGGAAAAGCACTATCATATTTTACCAACACAATCAATCCTTGTATAAAAAAGAGATGAATGTGGGCCTAAAGAAAATGGTGATAATGAAACATTTGTATTCAATAAACATTAAAAAATCTCAACTGGCAAAGGGAGACTTGATGGAAGGGCTTACAGGACAGAACAACGTAGTTGAAATTGGGGGAACCGAGAAAAAGTCTGGTGAGTGGTAACATGAAGGGCTTCTCTCTAGAACCACAAGACAGAAAGACTAAGGTTCCCAAGCTTATGCGCGGCAAATTTTTCTCAATTAATTTTTTTAATGCTTATGATTTTACAGATATTGACGAGTGTAAAGGAAGTCACTCTTGTCACGTGAATGCTACATGCACGAACACCCTTGGATCACATGTATGTCAATGCCACGCTGGATATACTGGAAATGGACAAAACTGCACAGGTGAATTTAATCTCTTCGCTACAATATGTAGAACAGTCCTGCATGACACGTTCGACTACAGTGCTGCACCATTCAGCCGCGTTGCAAGATAATTAGACAATTTATTACTAAGAAATTCGGTCATTTTGTCCTCATTTAATATATAGTGAATAACACCCGGGTTCCCGCTGACTTGGAATTTCTCTTCGAGTGTTCAACTGGCTACCTCATGGGTGAGAGTAGCAAACTAGTGAGGTATCGAGTAAGAGAATAATATATAGATTTAGCCAAGCCTAAAAGCGGTGATGTGATTAGCTATACGAACACAATAGGCCTTTACTGAGAATATAAGGCGACTTTTTGAAAATAATGATATAATAGGTTTCACAATCCGCGAAAAAAAGTCCTAGTCGTATATCTCACTCGTGTAACCACTAACGTTGTATAATTTTTCTTTTCTTCCCCATTTTTTTAGATATTGATGAATGC